GCTTGCCAACTCCTACCTTGGAGAATCAATTCCCAGTCATTTGGGGGAGGTTTTCTCGTTTGTTCCTTCTTTCCGTAAATACTCAGTGAGTACACACTCTGTCCCTCTATCTTGGCGCCCTAGGTAACAGCACTGAACACAACCTTTGCTGCCTTGGAGCTTACTTTTGTGGGGGGAACAGGCAATAAACGTACACTCGTGGATAAATGGACACATGGGTATGTTAGCTGGTGAAGAGTGCTGTGAAGAGAAAGAAAGGCTAAGTGGGGTCAGGAGGGAATAGGTGGGGTGGGGGTGCTTTCACAAACTGAGTGTGCAGAGGACCCTCTGATAAGGTAACGTTTGCTCTGAGGCTCAGATGAGCTGAGGGAGGAGGCAGATGAGAGGAGAGTCAGTGCATAGGCCCTGAGGCAGGGACCTGGACTGTAAGAACAGAGAGGTGGGCAGTAGGTGAGTGGTGGTAGCAGGTTCCCAGATTTAGAGTCACCTGGGACATTTACAAAATACTGATGCCAGGGCCTTTCTGCAGAGATTCTGATTCCACAGGTCTGACGTACAGACTGTGTAAGGGTCTGTAGGCCCTGGAAAGCACTGGATTTCATGGGCTGAGACTAGAGCATCAGATCCCCACCATACCACGCAGCCCCCATTCTCTGTCACTGAGTCCAAGGGAGCCTTTTCAATGCCGAAGGGCGGTGTGGATCAGGAATCTTGGCTGCCAGATCTCACACATTGCTTGGCTCCTAGCAAGGGCTCAATACATAAATGTTCGAATTTTAAGAAAAAACCTGCATTTAAGCCTGGTGCCTGCCGCCCTCTGTTGCTGTTTGGGGCCTGCTGTTTCTCCCTCTCGTCCAGTCCTGAAGGTCTATGTCTTGGTGACCTGGGTGGTTTCCCCGCGTCTAGACAGTGGCAGGTGCTCCACTTTTATTGCAGGAACGGGAGTCATGCTTTTTATTTCCCATAGACCGAGGTGGACCCCTTTTGGGAAGCCTTCTCCAGGCCCTCCTCTCTGGGGTCCTCTCTGCCCCTTGGGACGCATGTGGGTCACAGCCCCCACCATTGCCTCCAGACAGTGAAGCTGTTGTGTGCTGGGTCTTACCCCTTGTGCTGAGTTTGTTGAATGGATTGGCTGGTGGATGAGTGAGGGAGGAATTTAGGAAACACTGGAAAAGGAAGGCAAAGCCAGTGTGGGGTCCCCGTGGGGTCCCGTGCAGTTGGGAGCTGCCTAATACACTAAGCTGAGTCGGTGAACATGTGGCACACTGGCTTGTAGGATGTCTTATTGTACGTAAGGGCATGTGTTACAGACAGCCTGGCATAGGTGAGTGCCCATGGACGGGGTAGGAGAGCAATTTCCTTAAGTCACACTTCTTCCCGTGGCGTAGTATATAAAAGTATATGTGCTTTCCAGCTTAAAATCGTGACCAGAATGCCTAACAAAAACATACTAAAGCACATTGCAGCCATTTAAAATGGACAGGTGTGAAATGGAGATAGTAATTTTGTCTGATCTAGCAGTACTTAAAGTAGGACATTGAAAGGGCTGCCCCCGACCTGAGTTCCTGGTGAGGAATCTGTGCTTTCTGTGTGGCCTGGCATTGGGGATCTATCCCTATTCTAAAGCAAATGTACCAAAATTCCAAGCCTCTGTGGGTTCTGAATTGGTGATTTTTAGTTTGCTAAAGGTCTTGAACTCCTCGGAGGACTTTGGAAAGCTATAGACATGCAATTCTGCCTGTTCTTTGAGTCCCCCTCAACCTCCAGCACCACCCTTCCTGAAACTCATTCATGAATCCATGGAGATCACAGACTTCATATTGAGAAACTGCTCTAAGAGGATTTATCTCAAGTGATAGCTGATTAGTATTTAAGAAACCAAGTTAGGCTAACACAGACTATGAAAGTTTGGGTCAGCATTTTAATTTTTTCGTTGTTGGAAAAGGATCATACTTGTAAAAATAACTCAATTTTTTGCCCTAAATGAAAGTTTGTATGTGATAGATTTTCTTGAACTGTTTCCCTGCCTACCATGAAGTCTAGATACAGACATAATGAGAATTATGAAACTGGTGTGCCTCAGTTTGCATGCAGTATAAAACAAAATGTTAAAAATTAGAATGAATTAAAATATCTTGAAAGATGTGGAAGGGAATTCAGTTCTAAGCCCTTTCTTTGTCAGTAACAGTGAATAATTATCTTTTTTCTTTTATACTTTCCTTGATAATGACTCTTGGTATACTGTATATAACTCAGTTCAGTTTAGTTCAGGTATTTATAGAGCACATCTGTTAGGAATGCGCAGTATCCCTTTGAGGCACTGAAAGATGGGTCAAAATAACTCAAACAGGTTGCAAAATTCTTGAAGCAACATTAATTTTAAATAATGTTTAACTTTGAAGCCCTGTGCCCTGCAGCGTTCCAGGTTACTCTACATAAAACTGCAGGAGCCAGGCTCTGTAACTGTTGGAAATTGTGTTTTCCCCTGAGGAATAAGTTTGCAGCTATGCAGGGGTTTGTCCTGCTTGTCAGGTGTGTCAGTTCTCTGGTCTGTGCTGGGTGCTGAGTTCCATTCTGCTGCCCAAAGCAAACCAGGTGGAACTGTTGATAATTTAAAAGGAGGCCACAAACACTTGACATAAAAACATTGTGAAGATGAATTGGTTATAATACTTCTGAAGATAAAAAGTAATAAGCAAGGGATGAATGTTGTAAGAAAAGGGAAAAAATTACTTGACATCCACTCTACTAATTCTGGGTCGTGGACCGCATGTGCCTGGTGTTGAAAGGATGAATAAGGAAACACCTCATCTTGCAGGGAGACCCACCTGTTAGCTCCTAATTAGGTCAGAACATGAAGGGGATGCTGTGGCCACACAGGGAGACCACCAGTGTCCCCCAGAGCAGGAAGTGCTTCGGGGTGACCACCTACAGATGCGTCAGAAGACTGGGAAGGGGAGCATCCGAGCAGAGGAGAGGAGAGGAGAGGAGAGGGATGCTTGCAGAGGGCTGCCTCGAGATGCGTCAGAAGACTGGGAAGGGGAGCATCCGAGCAGAGGAGAGGAGAGGAGAGGAGAGGAGAGGGATGCTTGCAGAGGGCTGCCTCGGGCCTCTGATTGGGGAGGAGGGGTTCACGAAGCTCTTCTGTCAGCTGGCGGCGGAGAGCTGAAGAGGCCTCACATCAGAAACAGATCCTGGCATTGTCCATTTATGTCTATTCTCACACACTTTTAAAGGGTGGTAAAGCTGCGGCTTGGACGTCAGTGTCTGGGGCCGATCTGGAAAGTGTGGCCCTCCAGAGAGAGATGGCTTAGGGAGGGCCAGTCGGACACGGGAGAGGGCTCAGGAGATCACCGTCAAGGGAAGAGAAAGCGTCTGGACGGCTCCTTTGATACTCTAAGGTGGACTAAGTGATGACAGAAGGATTGAGAGATGTCTCTGAAATAGGTATTTTATCCTGACTTGAGAAAAGGTTGGAAAGAAAATAACGCAATAAATGAATAAGCTGTGGAGTGATTTGAAAAGGCTGTCAAAGGCGCTGCCCACCCAGAAGACACCCTGAGGAACAGGCAGTTCCTGTGCACATGGTTCCATAGCATAGAAAAGGATAGATCCACAGATCCTTCATCCTAGATCCACAGTGTGACCGTGTGTTTATTTGAGACAGCACAGTAAAGAAAGGTGCCCAGGGGTTTGGCCGCTGGTGGCATATTAGTGATTTTGTGGGCTCTCTGGTGCTGGTGGCAGTGCCTGATGTCCGAGAGCTGAGAACTGACCCAGATGCTCATGAGGTGTCTAGGGAGAGCCCAAGAACAGGGTAAAAGGGGTATGGAGTTTAGCAAAGGTTTAAAAATCTCTTCCCTCCTTTTAAAAAAGCAAGGTCAGCATCTAAATACAAGGAAAAATAAGCAGTTACTCATGTTGCTATTAAAACTCAGTATTTTGGCCATATCATACAGTCTTTTTTTTTTAAAATGTATTTTGTATTAATGGAAGTCATACTGTGTATATATTTTTTCATCTGGTACTGTCGTAACTACTTTAACATGTTACATAGTTTCATAGTCATATTTAAAATGGCTTTCTGATTTTATCAAATCACTATATCCTAATTTATACAGTGGTCCTCCAATTGTGGGGTATTTTGGTTTATTCCTTTTTTTATGTGTGATTAAATAAGGCCGTGATACTAGTATTTGTGAAGGCAACTTTCCTGTATATATATATATATTTATCTATTTCTGGAGAATAATACTCAAAAGTAAATCTCCTGGTTCAAAATTATTATGAACATTCTTTATACTTTTTTAAGTGAATAATGAATATAGTATAGCTTTATTTTAATTTCTCCCATGTCATACTTCCTCTGCTCTTAAGGTGATTGCTCATAGTCTAGTGTTATGTTTTAAAGTCTTCCCTGGTAAAATTTCACTGTCAGGCCAGGGCTAATTTATACACTTTTATTGAAGGCCAGCTGTACACAGGCACAAGACAACCTGCCCAGCAGGTGCCCATAATCAAAGAGCCTGTAATAGAAGGAGGTTGATCAGTGCTGAGAAAGGACAGGCCTCCAGTTGGAGGTGAGCCATGACTTTGGCCGTAACTTCTGTGGGTTTTGGTTTAATCGACATTTAAAGGCAGAGGTTGATTGAACCCTGGAGTCTCTTTCAGATGTGCAGTTCTTTGTTTTTGTTGCTAGCTCTTCCTCAAACAAAGGTTGAAGACATACTGTCTATCAAAACACATGTACCCTTGAACTCCAAGCCCCAAAAGAGGTATTCCAAAACTACAGGGAGGGACAGGATCACATTTCCACTTGCTTTTTAGTCGGACTTAATTCTTTTGAAAACAAAGTGTGCGTTTTATTGTCTTGATGAGCTAAAATTTAGTTTTCTTAGTGAACTTTAAAATCTTGGTCAAAATTTAAAATTTTATCAATTGGAATCCCTGAATTTTGTGGCATTAATATTAATTTTTTCCCCTCTTCTTTTTTCTTACAGCTGTTTGGGGAAACTTCGTTAATATGAGGTAATGGTTTTTAATTACTTGGCTATTGTTGGGTTTTATAGACATGTGTCAGTTGTTATATATGGCTTATACCATTGATGTATGTCATGGATTCATCGAAGACTGTTTTTAAAACGAAATTGAGTTTTTTGCTATTCACAGCTCTAGGTGGTTTCTCTTCTGTGGATATTGTTTACCCAGGTGAAGAGCAGATGTAAAGCCGTGGACACCTCCTCTACCTCGCCTACCTCGTCCTTTTCCCTGCGTGTGTAGACAACAGGGTTGGCCCTAGCTGTCACACCACTGAAATTTGTACATGGTATTTCTGGGTGTCTTAAGCAGGAGCACAGGGGGGCTTTTGCAAAACTTTTTGAGAAGGTACTCTCTTAGGGGACCTGGCTTGCATGGCCCAGGAAGCTACTGGAAGCGGACACTGAGACCACCTGTCATATCTGTCCCGGGGTTTGACCCACGGAACCTCTGGTCTGAATGAGCAGTGTTTGTGCTTCTTAATAGAGCAGGAGGGACACTTGCAAAAGTAAAATACTCCTGGTAGTTATCTCTTTACCAAATAAAAAAATTGCCATTTTTACTCATTAAAAAGTAATAAGCATTTATTGTAAAAACAAATTTGATGCTGTTAGTACAGTTTTCCATTTAAAGAAAAATTTGCTTCATTTTATTTCGTGGTATTAAACAATGTAAGAATAACAATTACAATTGTGATGATTGTATTGGAATTTTAATGCCCCTGCACAAGGCTACAAGGGTAAAAGGTTACTGTGCCCCCAGGAGGCTTTTCATGTGGAATTGGTTGAGGTAGGTGGGGCTGTGTTTATCCAATTCCTACTGCCAGGGTACCTGTGTCTCCTGACAAAGGCTGCTGTGTGTGTGGCTAGGTGGGGTGTCCAAGGTCCTATTTAAAAGAGTTCTGTGTTTTTACTTGGAAAAACTCCATTTTGCATTTAAGTCCCAGGGAAAGCCCAGCAGACAAACACGTACTCCTATAGACACTACTTCCTGCTTCTAATTTAAAATCCCGAGTTGGGTGTAACATGGAAGTGGGATTATTTTGGTTTATAGAAACAATACTGAGCATGTTCATAGGTGGATTGAAGGAAATTCCCTCTCCACGGCTGTGTTATTTTCCCTGGTACACCCCTTCTGGAGGGAAGTGGCACCTATGACTGCTCCTTGGGCAGGGAGGGAGATGGCTTTGGGTTTGTGTTACAGTAATTTGTCCAGAAACAGACATTGAAGTCACAGAGCCTTTCAATTGGTCTCAGTTTCATAGTTTTCTGCTCAACAGGTCTATCCAGGAAAACAGTGAACTAAAAATCGAAAGCAAGATTGAAGAGGTTAGTCTGTCTTCCATATTTTGCTTCTGTTTATCAATTTATTGATCAATTTCACTTCTGTTGCTTGCGCTGGTATCTTGATTGCGGCAGCTTGATGCTCTTCTATGATTTTGAAACCATCTCTTAAAAAATTACTCCCTTAAGAGACTTTTTTTTGTTATCCTGCAGATGCAGTCTCTTTGTCCTTTTTTATAAAGGTACGACGTGTTAAAATAAGTTCTGCCATAACGGCAAAATGGATTTTGACTTTTACATGACTTTTCAGGTGAGCCTTTCTTAGAGCAAGGGAGGTGATTACCTTTAAGAGATGGAGGCAAATCCCAACATCCACTCACCTGAGCAGATGCTGAAAGGAAAAATGATCCCAGGTCAGATGCTTGGAAACATCCAGAGCTTCTGTATGCACAGGTGGGGAGTCACACTCCCACCACACTGAAAGCTACCACTTCTGCTCAGTTGTACACCTCCTGCTTTAAAACAGTTGCTTACAGTTTATAGATAAATAAATGGAGATACAGCTAGACTGTTGTACCAGGGCTGTGGGAGGAGATGGGGAGTTACTCATCTGGATGTGAAGCCCAAGTGCTGGAGTCGTAGGGAAGCCCTTGGGTTGCTGTCTTTCTGCCCAAGACCTCCGTTTCGACACACAGGAGTGTGGGTTGACTCACAACCTGCAGCTTACGTGCTGGAGCTGATAACATGGATATGATAGCAGAAATAAGATGGTAAGCTTTTGTGAGCCACACTTAGGGAATACTTTAGTTTCTGAAAGAGACTAGTTTTTACAAACCTGAATCACCTTTTACATTCTTCTAGTAAGGGGGTGAATAAAAAGGTTAGCTTTCTCAGAGATCCAGGCATCCTTGGAGCAGCAGTTGCAGCTTGCAGTTTATCAGCTTGGAGCGAGCTCTGCGATCCATGTGGTATATCTTAGTTTCAAACTGGAAGTGAATTTGCAGAAGAAATTAAAATCTGATTTGTGCAATGTCATGCTTATCCTACACGTCAGAACTGGGTGAAAGTGGTGGAGGACTGTGTTTTTGCTTTAAAATTGATTTTGGTTACTTTTGTTCCAGATTGTTGAGCCACTAAGAGAGAAAATCAGAGATTTGGAAAAAAGGTATGTGTACTTTGTTTTGAGTTTAGGAAAATGCTTATATCTTAGCTATGTGACAGGTGAAGGTCCGTATCTAATGTAAGTTCGTCTTAACTGAGTAATTCTGTAACATGAAAGATACAAGGCACTCTCAGACACTTTTCCATAAGAAGACAAGTTTTAAATTTGGATGCAGTGTTTTTAAACCTTTTTTTTTTTCTTTTATCATTAAGGACTATTTCTGATGAAAGCCATAGATTCTCCAGAAAAAAAGATTTATATTTATTTATTTTATTTTATTTACTTTAAATTTATCTTTCCAGGGGTCTTCCTGAAGCCCAACCACAGATCTTAAGTTGAGAGTCCTTCTAATGTCAGTTTGATTTCTACAAACTATATCAACCTAAATAAATGTCCACATAAACATTTTTGGTTTTTCCCCCATTTGAGCATAATACCCAAATAGTCAAAATATTGGAAGAAGAAAGGATCTTTGTGTGTTAAGATCTTCCTTGTCCAAACTCTGTGACTTTCTATGTTCCTGCCAATTCATTACATAGGCGTTGAACTTAATCCTTACCCTCTTTTAACTTCTGCAAGGTAGTCAGATGGTTTCTGGCATATGTTGATTAGTCTAACAGAATTCCAAAATAAGAGAACAACCTGGAATACCTAAGACATAGTGCCATATATTGAACACTATAAGAAATTATGGATACGGAGCCTATGATATGGCATCTTTAGTTATTTATCTGCTTTTGCTACCGGAGTACATTGGGAGGTTTCCAGAATTTAGCCCAGGTAAAATGGCTGGGAGGGAAGAATTGTATAATATGAAAGACACTTTTTTTTTTTCTTTTTTGGCAGCTGGCAGTACAGGGATCAAACCCTGGACCTTGGTGTTATCAGCACCACGTTCTAACCAACTGAGCTAAGCAGCCAGCCCTTGAAAGACACTTTTATTTGAATCAAAGTCCAAACAGAATTCCTCCTCATCACGTTTTGACAGGGTGGTTTCCCTCCTGACCTTGAGACTTGATGGGTAAACTCCTCTGAGTCCCTACACTTCTGAAACAACTGAGCCTCAGGCACTGGAGGTATTTCCTTGAGAGCATGTGGGAAACCTTGTATGTCTAGAGTAACAGTTGAGTTTTTGGAAACTTGAAAGAGGAAAATGAAAACATTCATTAGAGATTATGTACATTTTTTTTCTTGGGATGAGTTTGGATTATGCGTGTCAGCATTGTGTGAGCCTTGTATCAAATTCAGAATAAAAAGGAAGAAATGAAGAGCAGTTTTCTTTGATTTTTCATTAAATGACCAAAAGGAAATAAGGATGGAGAAGATTGATCAAATAAAATGTGTTTATTCATTTTCTTCCTGTCCTCAACTGAGTGGTTAGGCAAACTATTAATTTCAGCTCTCACTGGGATAAAAGTTATTCATTGTTTCTAACAAATTCCCTTAGTAATGGGTGTTGTTTTTTTGTTTGTTTTTTACATAGACAAACTCATTAAATCCTCCCAACAATGTTAGGAGATATATATATATATATATATATATATATATATTCATCCCCAGTTTACAGGTGAGAAAACTGACACAGAGAGATGAATACCTTGCCCAAGATCACAGAGCTCGTGAGAGGCAGAGCAGGATGCAGCCTAGACTGCCTTACACTGCAGAGCTATGCCCTTATCTGCTGCACGCGCTGCCTCTCTCATTCTCAGCTGTAATACCAGGTTAGGCGGGAGAGAGGTGGGAGAAGCATTTAGTGGTCACCCCCTCTGAGCCAGGCACTCGGCAAACACCTATATGTTTCAATGTCAGAAGAACCCTTCAAGTGAAGGATAAGCTAGAGCTATGCCCTTATCTGCTGCACGCGCTGCCTCTCTCATTCTCAGCTGTAATACCAGGTTGGGCGGGAGAGAGGTGGGAGAAGCATTTAGTGGTCACCCCCTCTGATCCAGGCACTCGGCAAACACCTATATGTTTCAATGTCAGAAGAACCCTTCAAGTGAAGGATAAGCTAGATACTCACTGTTCATGTGAGGAAGCAATACCAGAGATGTCTACCATGGCCACACAGCCCAGGAAGTGACGGGGCTGAAATCCAAACCTCTGCGTGAGCTCTGCCCACTGGGTGTCCCTTCCCCAAGTTGTGTAGGGAGCTGAAGAGAATGGAGACCAGTAGGGAGGGAAAGAAAGGGTGTGAAGGCTGGAAAAGGGGTCCAGAGGTTTTAGGCCTGGAAACTCCGTCTGGCTTCCCTGGGGTCCTTGGCAACCTTTGCACCTCCCCCAGGTAGCCTCGCCGGGGAGGGGCACCAGAGGGGCAGAAGACTCAAAGCAGCTGGGTCCCTGGAGAGCAGCTTCACTGCCACTGCCTCCTGCTCCAGTGCGATGGACTTCATGCTGGGCTGCTGGGGATGGGAGCGAGGTCTTGTGGGGTCTCCCACCCCACACACCTGCCCTCTGGCCTCTGAGGACCTGGGCAGGACAAAGGGCATTGCCTACCCCTGTGCGCTCTTCAGCAGCATTTCCTGATCTTGCTTGGGGAAACAGGGATGAGGCCTGGACGGTGGCACCTCCTCCGGAGGACATAGGAGACAACCTGGATTGCTGGGTGGGTGAGGTCTGGAGTGCAGGGGGCAGCCCAGGGCCCAGAAAGCTGAGGATGGTGAAGAATCTTCAGAGGGTACGAGCTGGCATGGAAATGCTATCCCCAGGACTTGGTCTAGCCATGGTACTGCCTCTCACTAGTCCTGCAGTCCCTTAGCTCCCCTCTAACCCAACCATTCACCAGCCCCGAGAAAGGTACAAGGGTGGCCAGAAAGCCCCTCTCTACAGTGGGTCTGGCTGTACCATGGGGAACAGAGCAGATGCGTGGTGGAGAGGGCTGAGAGGCTTCACTGGGATTGGTGCCGCCGGTACAGCATGGCCAGGAGTGTGGCCATGAGCACCCCAGTCACAGCCACCCAGAGCCATGGAGCGCAGGGCGCATCCCAGACACAGCGCACCACCACTTCCTCCTCCTTGAGTGGCGGGGTGGCACACGGCCTGGGGCAGGCCTCCAGGAGGTTGGCACTGGGATCCTCGGCCACATGGATCCCAAAGGTACCCACGGACATGTACTCATTCTCTTTCGGGCCATGGTTGGGCTCCCCACCATGGCTGGGCCCCACACCATGGCTGGGCCCCACACCATGGCTGGGCACTGCACCCAGGGAGTCTCTGCAGCTGATGGTGAGATCTGCGGTGCAGCCAGAGAAGGGCTGGCAGGCCAGCTGGGATAGTAGCATGCTAGGCGTGCTCAGCTCTGGCCCAGATTGCTGGCTCTCAGAGCTGCTGTCTGTCCAGGGCAAACTCCCTTCAGTGGTACCTGTGGGTGCTGGAGCTGCTAGGGTCTCCTCAGCTCTGGTGCTGCTCCTGCTGGCAGGCACTGTGTTGGCAGGCACCTTGGTGGGCACCATGCTAGTGGGCACTCTGGATGGCACCATGCTGGCATGTGTTGAGTTGATGGGCAGTTTAGATGGTGCTGGATTGGTGAGCACAGTAGAGGGCGTTGTACTGGGGGGCTTGGAGCTGGTGGGCAACTTGGAGGGCACTGTGCTGGCAAACGCTGGTTTGGCAGGCACTTTGGAGGGCACTGTGTTCACAGGCATCAAGTTGGTGGGCAGCTTGGAGGGCACTGTGCTGGTAGTCGTAGAGTTGGCGGGTACCTCTGCCTCACCGCAGTGGATGACAGCCTCAGCCTGGTCACCAACGCCCCCTGCAAAAGCCAAGCCAGTGGAGGAGGAGAAGGTGCCAGGAGATGGAGCTGACACTGCAGGTCCAGGCAGGCAGCTTGCCTTGGGAGTGGAATGGGCCAGAGGCTGGAAGGAGACAGTCAGAGACACAGGCCCTCAGGGTGATGTGAGGCTGGAGACCACGGCTGCTTTGTGGGTACTGCCCAGTTCTGTGTCCTGCTCCTGATGCCTGCTGGAGGCCAGCAGGCTGAGGGCTGCCAGGTCAGATGAGGGCTCCTGGGGGCCAGCCAACCTCTTCAGGATGGCCCCAGTGCTGGGTGTCTGTAAGATTTGCTCTGAACTCTCTTCCGGGGACTTTGGTGGCTGTGTGTCCAGGACAGGCATGGGGTAACTTGGGTCCTTCTCCCTGTAGTTGTTGTAGGGGATGCTATGGGCCACAGCAGGTGTAGAGGACCCTGGAACCTCAGCAGGAACTGTTGGTGGCTCCAGTGGGGTTGGGAGATGGTTTGGGGTCCCTGGTCACTTGCTGTGAGGCAGGACAGGTAAGGCAGAATCTCCAGAACATCAGTATGGTGAAAATTGCTGTGATCGTGGCAGATATACTTATAGGTCTTGTCCTCAGCAAACGTCATCACTGCTCAGGTTCTGAACAGAGAGGGCCCTGGCCCAGCAAAGAGTGGATGGACACAATTTTCAATTATAGATATGTGTGTTTTCTTGTTTCTTACCTGCCTCCCCCATCAGGGAGTGCACGGGTAGCCACGACCCTGTGACCCGCAGATCGCCATCACGAGTCCGGAACCTTCCCCGTAATGGGTGTTATTTGTGCTTTAAGTTTTTCTTGCCATGATTTTGTGCTGAAATAATACCGCTTGTAACATTGGATGATAACTAGAAATTCTGCCTTCGATGAGACCGAATGGAAAAGAACGGCCGAGACTCGGACTAACAGTTCACCAGAGAAGTCCCGTTTTATTGAAAGCTGCGGGTACATTTATAGGGAGCTGCATTCCGGGATCAGGCAAAAGGTGAACGGGGCATTAGCTGATTGGGCAGGGCTAGGCGGGAGACAAATGTTGACCTGTGACTGGTTAAGATTTCATGCCGGCGGGCTTGTTGGCTGTGGAGAAGAACCCGGAAGGGCGCCGTATTGTTAAGGTGTGTCCAGCTCTGGTACTCACAGAGTCCCTACATTCCCCCCTTTTTCCTCTTTTGTGGGAGGTGGGTCGTCGAAGTCATTGAGCTACTTCCTGCTGGAAAGGGGCGTAGTGGGGGAGAGGAATTGGGGGGAGATAGGAGACCCTTTGTGAATCCCCAAAGGAGGGTGGAAAACAAAGTAATTTCGAGAGGGGAGAATTCCATGAATGTTCCCTGAAGCCACAGGTCAGTTACTTGATCTATCCAGCGTGTGTAGGAGGCTGTAGGGGAGAGCATCCAGGCATCTGCAGCTAAAACCTCTAGGAACAGGGGCCACCAGAGATGTAGGTCCATATTAACAGTGCGTTAGCTGATCCGTTGAGGAGCAGCAGGTAGGATCCTCGGTGGCTAGGAGCTGGTAATTTCTGAGTAGAAGCTGGTTAAAAGTTTGGTTAGAAATTTTACCGACTTGAGTTTGGATAAACTTTATGATACAAGGTAGGAAGAGATAGGTCATAAGTACAATAAGTAGAGGTCCTAGAACCGGCCATACCCACGTAAGAAGGGGATTTTGAAAAAAAGAAGCAAAGGGGTTGTCGTGGGCAGCTCGGAGGTCTGAGGCTAAGTTGGTGAGTTTGACAATATTGGTTTCTACTATCCCAGACTCGTTGATGTAATAACAACATTCTTCTCTAAGAAAGATACAGGTGCCACCCTTTTCTGCAGTGAGGAGGTCTAGCGCTCTGCGGTTCTGTAGGGTAACCCTAGCTAGGGAAGTAATTTGTCTTTGTAAGGCAGGCAGAGATTTAGCCGTGGAGGTGAGGGCAGCTTCGAGTTTGTTATTGATGTCTTTTGCTGTCCATAAGGTGTGTCCTAAAGCTCCTCCCGATAAGCCGGCTGTAGCAATTGAAGTTGTTAGGGATATTCCCACTAAGACTGGGAGGAAGGCGGCTCGTTTTTGTTTTGAAGGTGGATGTAGGAGAAAATAGAGCTCTGAGTGGGTATAGAGAGTTAGTTGGGGAACAGCGGTAACTATGAGGCAAGGAGAAGTGGTGTTAGGAAAAATAGTGGAAAGGGTTCCAGGAAAAATAGTGGAAAGGGTTCCGTTGCACTAGAAATATAGACCTGATGGAGCTGTTGTGTGATTTTGAATGGTATAGTTGGAATTACAGTGAAATGAGGGGTCAGGTGATGGCGAGGATGGTCCATACATGCAGTGGTGGGGTACCACAGTGTGGTTAGAGTTATCATCAGGTTCTCATAGTGGAACCTCAGGGAGGCTGAAGGATGTAATTGATTTGGAGGAAGAATTGTTGGTGAATGGGGTTACGTTTACTGGGACCGCAGCCAGGAGTGGGAGCAGGAGGGATGCACAAAGGAAGCAGTTGGGGGAGGGGTAGAGTTGG